CCCACTGAACCTACCCCACACTACAAAACTTTCTGCACAACCAAAAGATTCCGTTTCCAAAGTGTTTCCAAAATACCAGGTGATCCTCTCATTATTAATCTGCAAAACAAAACATTTCTCAGTTCAAAACCTCCCTGTTATCACTATCGATGATCCATCATCCGTTCCAACGAAAACCTCTCAAATCCCTTGCCTAGAATCAATAGACGAAACGAAACAATCAACAATTTCATCCAATTGAATTAGAGGAACACTGAATAAATTATAGAATAAACGAATATTCCTAACAAAAAACAATTAACCACCAAGAGAAGACTACAAAATCATTAGCGATTGCAAAGTGTCGTTAATGAACCAATAATAAATAACAATACTGATAACAATGATAGGAAACGTGAAAAGGGAATTCATTACTCAATAGCAACGATGATGGATTACTCAGCAAAAACAATAAGGATCAGAGGAGGTGTTTCTGTGAAGAGGACGAGAACAATGCCAAAGTGACCAATTGTATCAAAAAACAACAAAATATTACCAGCAGCCAACGATAAAACAATTTTCACATATCATCAATTGTTCATCACAATTCTGTATTCGTTTGACTGATTGAATAGATGACGGAAAAGAAACTAGTAGAAAAATAACTAGAAGCAAATGCTGTTCACACAGACCCATTGACAGAATCATTCATTCATTTCCTACAGTTTCATGACAGTATCGCTCATGCTCACCAACTCTAACTGTAACGCATTAAACAGTAACCACAGCTAACGAAGTCTCATCGCAATTCCACTCTCAAATAACTGTAACTTATCCAGACATTTACCTTCAGATCAAGCTAACTCAAATCCATATGCCCACCCACGCAACATCCACGTCTCATTCTCATTACAATTAAAATAAATACAATCTACGATTTTCCCTAAAAAGTTAAATCAGATGATAACTGTACCAACGACGGTGATCTATCAAAACCGTAATGAAACTGTTGCTCAGAAGTCGTGAACGATAATCAACAAACGTAATTATTAAACGAATGAAATGAACAAATCAAATTAACAAACGAACAAATAAATAAATAAACAAACAAACTGATGATTAAGCTGTTTGGTCGGTGGCTCCGATCAGTTGGTTGTTTGGTTGAGATTTTATCAGCAGGCTGGTTGAAAACCACCACCATCACCATCATCAAGAAGCCAGTCCACCAATCAGCCATGCGCATCAGTAAACAACCATCATCGCTAACCACATCACAGATACCCATCCATCTATCGTCCACTGATCCATAAGAATCATCCAACCCATTTACAACTCGTCCGACTTCTTCTTCTTGAGTTTCTTACCATCCTTATCGTATCCTTTCAATCCATCCGTTGAATGTGTAGCAATGAACTTGATGAAGTCATCCACTTCGCGGGCACCTTGGTATGGGATTGGCTTATCTTTAGCATTCTTTGGTAGCCAGTACAGCGTTGGGAATCTAAAGGTAAACAAATATTAAGAACGTTCACATCCACAATTCATGGTGCATGTGGAAGAACGGAAAGGGTGTCTGTAGCCACACTTAAGCTGCTGACAAATATGGAATCTCAATTGCAATTCGCCTTAAACACCACTGAAATTGGTGGTTGTATACATCATGATAATCCCGACGATTGTTTATGGAGGAGATTAACAAAAGTATTCAGTCCATTAATTGCTAGCAAGATAACTGAAATCAATTTCTATTGCTATGATGAGGCATCCAGCAGAAATGGCCACTGCTTGAGGACAGGGGCTAAATCAAACGATGTAAGATCACACCGAAAGTGTGTCTCAATTTAAGCTGCTTTGAAAGGCCCAGTTTAGCTCTCGGAAAAAGCTGTGGTACAATCGCTGGTTGAGGTCATGACCTGACATTAACTTTCGATAAGTTGAGGCACTACAATAACAAAGGGCGTTTCTGATTCTAGCAATGCTAGGTCGAGCCTTCATTCATCACCCTTCTAACAGGGCGCGATTCTTGGACGTATCCAATGAAGAATATTGCTCTAATGAAGACGATGAATTCTCTGCACCCAGGAAATTCAAAACGTGCATCTAGAATCACTATGTATTCCGCGCAGATTCACAGAGAAATCGTGGGACAGTTGAAGTGATTGAAGCTTCAGAATGATACATCAACAGCAAAACCGAGCTGTTCCCAAACTGAGACGATTCCTAGAATTATCCGCTACGCGGCGGATGGATAACGAGGAAAACTGACACGACTTCGATGCCACGCATCGATGTTCAAACTCTATAATAATAGTGAAGTGAAGCTCTTTAGAAGGGAACAGGTTCAAGAATATTGTGCAAAAAGGTCGATCCAGAAGTAGCACATTGTATCGAGCAATCACTTCGTTCCACGATATCACTGCGCAGAAGTGAAGGAAACCGGCTAAGAAGCAACCAGAGCAATTCTAAGTGGAGCAAATCTGCATCAACTTATGAAGTCTGTATCAGTAAGGAAAGAGGTCGCCTCTAGTGACAAGAATGCATCAGCAGCAGCAGTATCCGAACATACAGAACAACACCCCAAGTCTCATGGCCAAAGCAATTCAAATCCGAATCCTCTAAAATTATTTAACCTCACACGACTTCCGCCGCAAATCAGAATCGCCAAATAGCCTAGAAGACCACGAAGAACAAATGGTGAAAGTTAGCTGCTCAACCGGATAGAAACTACTGAGGATGAGCGAGCGTAAGGATGAATCGATTATCGATCGACTCCATCAAGCTTCACACAAAGATCACACAGAATACATCAGATAACACATCAGCAGAAGTCACCGTCGTCGAGCCACTCTACAGATCTATCAAAGTCTCATCGATGAAACTGATGGATGCCACAGAAAGAAGTGCTTAAACGATCTTCCCATATGTCACACGTCGCCAGAAGCGCTTCAAGTATCCGTAAACTGCGAAGACAATCCTTTCCTGATCACTTTCCATCATTATCTTACCACTTTATCCACTGATAACCTATGATCAGCTGCCATTCGATCCGCATATCGGATAGCCATAAGCCGTGCTATGTTCGCGTAACCACAGGTCAATATTGCTGCTATTGGAAGTTACCAATTACAGCAGCAGTTACCAGTGATAGCGGTATGGTCCCTGTCACGAAATTTACAATGGACACGACAAAGAATCCCAAGCCAGACTCCCTCTCACCCAACGGTAAATGACACGTCTCATCTGCCGGAATCCAGAACCCACCTATCAGTTGACATATTACAGTCAGTGTCAGCATATTACTGATTAATTTAAACGCTTCTGCACAGAACACTTCCATTTCATACTTTTGTACAATTTTAGCTTCTTATTGATAACGTTTAATCAACGAAGCAGCAGCACTTCGTGTGAATGCACGCAATCCTTTTTACTTTCTTTATCAATCAGTTTCAATGGAAACACTCAACTCAGAGCATCGTGGCACGTAATCTGGCCGAATATTTTTTACTCCATTCCCACATTAAAAACAGTAGAATAATGCGATCTCAATGATTATCAATCTCAATCTACTCCATTAAACGGTAGAATTATTATTATCAATCTCAATAATTAACTCAAATTCGATGAACTTTTCATAAATACTGCTGAAATAATTCAGAATCAGATCATGGACGATGCAGGCGAAATTTTGTGGGTGATGTCCCCATGTGCACAAATCAATGGATTGTTCTTCTTCACTCCAAAACTCTTTTCTTTTCTTAGTCTCACTTTTAAATTCCATTTGAATCAATCATGCACGGTCACATATCCTAACAACTCTAAAATAATTTACGAGCAACTTCAAACGTTTCAGATCTAAACGATTGAATGTTTAACCGAGAGAGAGATCACAAACTCGCCGTTCACTCAACTCAGATTAAAAATATTCCCATCTAGTCTGTAATGCAACTTCGTCGAAATATTTTCCATGACATACACAACACTCGCACAACTCTAGCTAGTTAACATTCATCACCTGACTGCCACAGTTTACAATCCTGATCAGATCACATAAAACCATTGGTCATATTTGAAAATATTATGCAGAATATGAAGTTGATAATAATGTGATAATAAATTGATGAAAATATTTTCAAATCACCAATAAAACCAACGAAACAACAACTCAATAAATACTAACTAACCCATCAAATGCCGCCTTAAATAAAATAAAGCTCAGCCATTTCAACCACAACAACATCAATGTCGTGTTACCTTACCTCATTATAATATTCTTATTATGCTGCTTGCAAAACAGACACAACTATCACACACTACTACCTATGAGTTAAACTCGAATGTTGAAGTTGCTACACATACATATCAATAGGCTGGAATGTATATCAACAGGTTGCGAAACAATATCATAAAATAAACGCTTTACTTACCCTCTGACTTCAAAGAGTGGCGGTACATCGTTGGCAGTCGCGTCCATTTTCGCGATCACCACGTCCTCCTTGGCTAACTTCTCGCCCAGCTCGTCGTATTTCGGTGCCAACGCCTTACAATGGCCACACCATGGAGCGTAGAACTCAATGANCATTTCCTTGAATGAACGCGCAACAACCACCTGCAAAATGCCACCAAAAATTGAATGCAACCAGCTAAAATCGATTGATGATGCATCCCAGAAACCAACATTCAACTCATTAACATAAAACATTTGTTACTCTTTTGAACCTTTTGAAACAAAACACCTGATAAAGAAAACGCATTTGCAAATTCTATCTTCCAGTGTAAAACTCTCAATATCGACGATGTGTAAACGAACAATTGAATGAATGAATAACAAAAATTTCACAAACTAACCAAAATTTCTGAAACCAAAAACCAAAAATGAAGTCACAACGAGTCAAGCAATCACCAAAAGTAATCATAAAAGTAACTACTCCTACCTTAACATCGCCTTGACTCTCTGGAATCGGCTCACTCTTCATATATGGCTCAACCTTTCCACCCAACACGTCTGCGACGAACTTCTTCAGATTGTCCACACTAAACTATCATCATTACCATTCATTATCTCTCTTTCATTCATAAATTTACAACACTTAACAAGTCTACTAACTACAATTACAATCGTATATTACACGTTTGTATCTTCAAACGTCCCATCACCCTTTCAACGAGACGAATCCCCCCCTTCTCTAACTATAAGTATTCATCAAAGAAACTAATTTCTCTTTCTCCACAACTCACTTAACAATCTTGAACTTGCGAACAAACCCATAATCAATTTCCACCTCACTCACCTGAACTCCTTNCAATATCAAACGGAAACAAAAACCTGCAAAATGCAAATAATTTACAAAATAAAACGGAAGCATCCTGAATCCTA